TTATCTGACCATAGACTTATCTATATAGAGATAAAATCTGGTACTGCGAGAGAGAGGTCTTTGTCTATTGAGCAGTTTTCCAAAATGGAATTTTCGTAAAATGAATCCCGAAGCGTTGAAAACGGCATCCATTTGTAAAGCTTGGGGATTTTGTAAAACAAACATGAATTCTTCTGAAAGCTTAGTGAAATGGATTAATAAATCACTACGTGAAATCTGTGACTTTTCCTCACCAAGGAATAGCGGGTGCTCTAGAAATTCGACATATTGGTGGAACGAGGAATTGGCAACTCAAAGAGGAGTTGTAGTTCTTGCGCGAAGGGCTCTCTCTAGAGCAAAGAAAAAACAAAATATAGATTTAGGGTGTTTACGATAATTCAAGTTCGAGTTAGTTTCACTAGGACCAAAAAATGAGATAGACATAACCTAGAACCTTTATGATTCATGACAACTCAACGCTGTCTTGTATCGCTTGAGTTAAATTCATTGAATTTATTGAGTTTATTGAGCAAATTTTATTGTAATAGAAAAATGTCAACTGCAAATCAGTCTATGAAAGAAACAAATAATGTTGGTATGTTTGTTGGTATACCTCTTTAATAAATTAATAATAATATAATTAATATAATAATAATATAATATAATATAATAACATATAATATAATATAATAATATAATATAATAATGATATAAATATAATATAATTTTATAATAATAATATAATTAATAATAATAATAAATGACATTTTTCTATTACAATAAAATTTGCTCAATAAACTCAACAAATTCAATGAATTTAACTCAAGCAATACAAGACAGCGTCGAGTTGTCATAAATCATAAAGGTTCTAGATGGTTATGTCTATCTTATTTTTCGGTCCTAGTGAAACTAACTCGAACTTGAATTATCGTAAACACCCTTAGTGATGGTCAGGTATAGAGAGTATAGGGTCTCTCTCTGGGAATATAGAACATCTATTAAAAAGGCTAAATTGAGGGCATGGGACGAGCTCTTGGCAGACCTTGACAAGGACCCATGGGGCCTCCCTTATAAAATTATATTCAAAAAGTTAAGACCAGCGGCGCATACTGTTACTGAGACTCTTTCGTATGATATTGTAGAGAGAATTGTAAGAGTTCTTTTTCCAGAGAGGGGAGATTACTTGGATATAGGTTATGCGAGTCCCCCGCTGTGGACTGATGGTCTCAAAGTTACCGATGGAGAGATCAGGGAAGCTGCAAAAAAGATATGCGGCTGTAAGAAAGCACCGGGCCCAGATGGGGTCGCGGGAGGCATACTTACCGGCAGTCTGGGGAGTTTCATGGAGGCGTGGCTTGACTGTTTTAACGCGTGTTTTAGGGAGGGCACCTTTCCTAAGTCGTAGAAAGTGGCCAAGTTAGTTCTTTTAAAGAAAAAAGATGGTATAATATCAGATCCTGGCATATATCGTCCGATTTGCTTACTGGACGAAGCAGCCAAGCTATTTGAGCGTATAATAGTAACGAGAATACACGAGCATTTAGAGTCTTCGGGCGCCCTTTCTAATAATCAATTTGGTTTTAGAAGGGGACGCTCGACTATGGATGCCATTCTCAGTCTTCGTGAAATAGTACGAAACGAGTTAGATGAAGGGAGAATAGTTGTTTGTGTGAGTTTCGACATAAAGAATGCGTTTAACTCTCTTCCTTGGGGAGTTATCAGGGGAGCCATGTCCTCCATGGAATTCCCTGAGTATCTGTGTAGGGTGGTGTCGGCATACCTGTCGGAGAGGGCCCTTTTGTTCACGGATTGTAATGGTATAATTAGAATGAGACAAATGACTTGCGGGGTTCCACAGGGATCGGTCCTTGGGCCGACTCTGTGGAACATCGGTTATAACAGGATACTTACCTTGGTTCTTCCGGAGGGTTGTTCGACATTGGGCTATGCGGATGATACCATCTTGTTGGTCTCTGGCGGAAATTACGAGGAAACTAGAGATAAGGCAATGCTAGCAGCTAGTTTAATTATTAGAGAACTAGAAAGAATGGGGCTGGAAATTTCTCCACATAAAACGGAGGCAATGGCCTTCCCGGCCTCGGTGCTTGGGCGTAATTCTCGTTTATTTATTAAGGACAGAGATATAGTTATATCTAGTAATCTAAAATATCTGGGGATTTTTCTTGACAGTGATTGGAGCTTTACGCACCACTTCCGTCAAATTTCATTGAAAGTAGATAAAACGGTAAGGGTGTTATGGAGAATAATGCCGAACTGTCGAGGTCCGGGAGAAAAGAAGCGAAGATTATATTTGAATGTCGTTCTTTCTATTATTTTGTACGGTGCACCTGTGTGGTACGCTTCTTTCAGAGAAAATCGTATCGCGAGGTCCCTGATAGAGAGAGTTATGCGGAGGATTACTCAAAGAGTGTGTTGCACATACCGTACGGTGTCGTATACGGCGGCCATGATTCTGTCGGGTACTCCGCCTATTGAGTACACCGCCAATAGGCTGGCGATAGTTTTTGAGAGATTGCGTAGGGCCAGGATGGAAGGGGAAGATATCTCCCCCAGATCTAGGGAAATGTTGCATTTTAATGCTAAAACTAATGTAATACATGATTGGAAACAAGATATTGAGGAAATGAGTATTAATCAGCCGGGTTTGCGGATTCGTGAAGCGATAAGACCGGTTCTTTTCAACTGGATTACTAGGAAACATGGCTGGGTCAACTTTCATGTAGCTCAAATTCTCACGAATCATGGCTGTCTAAACAAATACCTATGTAGAATAAACAAGATGGAAACGCCACTATGTCTGCAATGCTTCTCAACTAATGACAGCGCGCAGCATACGCTTGAATTTTGCGATACTTGGAACGAAGAGCGAAACGTATTAAAAGAGCTGATAGGTGACAGATTGGATCTGCCCTCTATTGTATCGGCTATTTTGGAAGATGCAGAGAAGTGGAAAGCTTTTTCCAAATACTGTAACATAGTTATGTCTAGGAAGGAGGCAGACGAGCGTGAACGTCAGGCCCTAGACAGGGAAAGAGCGATGGGCAACTTAATTTCCTCTTCGGAATAAGCTTGTTTTTCTCTCTTTTTATTGTATATGTACTATTATTATTAGATTAGGTTATTTTGACTGATAGTTATGGTCTTATATTTTTAAGTTAGATTAGATTTAATAGATGTATTTTTATTTTAGATGTTAGCTTTAGATGTCCCGTTTAAATTTGTGGTAGGGCCTATAAGACATGGCCAAGGAGAAAGGTAAGGTAATGCTCCCGTCAGTTTTCCGCCTTTCTTCTTATTTGCGGCTCGAGAGGGGCGAGAGGTGAGTTTTTTAGCTGGTAGGCGGTCGGGATGAGCATCGTGGATCTGGTGGAGCTGGGAGTCATTGCTTCTTTGCGCTTCCACGAATATTCGATTATCCTCCCGCATGGATATCGAATTCTGGTTTGGGCGTGGGGTGGATGGCCCTAAAGGTTTTGCTGGGTTATCCCTGATGCGAGTCCCGGTCGAATCCAGCACTATCCTGGAGTACGGGCTCCAGGGTGTCTTTGGAAGATTTTTCTCATCTCCGTAAACAAAAAAAAAAAAAAAAAAAAAGGTTAGGTTAGGTTGTAACCGGACGCGCCCCTTGGAGAGATAATACTCAGGACTCACCGGTCGCAGGCAGCAATACGTTCGCCGTAGATTGGTCGCCACTCGTTTTAACCCTTCAAGCGAGAAGGTTAAGATCCTCGTTTCGTCCTTCCATGACCCTCGGGCTCGGATGTCGCTTCCTTCAGCGTGGACGAAGACGCCTGATGAGATGTTGCAGCGTATCTTGTTCTAATCCTTTTTTATTTTGTTCACAGGTTCACCTCGCGCACGGACGACGGATCACCGGGATGCAGAACGGATAAAGTAAGTGCTAACAACTTTCTTTCCACAGGTTCGGACCGAAATAAGTCTTACACATTTTATTTTGATAATTAATTGAAATAAACAATATATTTAACATTAAACAAAATAAAAGTACACTGGTAATTAGCCATAATGGCTTACAACAGTTTCACGCACGCCGATAACATTTCGGTGATTCGCATTTTTATGATTGGTCGACGCGATGCCGCTGAGCACCACCACTCCGCTGAGTGGTGGTGCTCTCGCTTCGATTTCTCTGAGTCCCACACTGACTAACTAATTCTCCTGGCACGGGTTTATATACCCGTCGGCTGGCTCGGTATCCCTTCCGCTTGTCCTGCGGCCAATCACCGCTTTGGAAGGTCTCCGCCAATCGTGGAGCTCGTGCTGGCGGTCGTCAGTTGCCGCCATCTTGATTTGGTCCGTGTCTCAACTGCTGTGTAGCGGTTGAGTCTTTACGCGCTCAATTTAAAATCATCTTATTACTAATCTTAAATCAAGCGATTAAATAATTATTTGTCAGTATTTATACATTGTCCTGACCTTATTCTATGTTAACCTAGGCTAAGCTATTACTAGGCGGTGTCCCGGGGAGGTGTGGTGTTGGCGGTGTCCTTGGACATCGCCAACGCGTTCAACACCTTCCCGTGGGACAAGGTCGGGGAAGCTCTCGAATTTTTCGACCTCCCCGACTATCTCCGGCTGATCATCTAGGATTATTTCCGGGAGAGATCGATCCACTATGTGGATCGGGCAGAGAGGCCGGTGACCCGGTCAATGTACTGCGGGGTCCCGCAGGGGTCGGTTCTCGGCCCCTTGCTTTGGGACCTCGGGTACGACCGAGTCCTTCGGATGGCCCTCCCCTCGGGCAGCCATGTGGTCTGCTATGCGGACGACACCCTAGTGCTGTCCAGGGGAGGACATGGGACGAGGCAGTGGCGAACGCCAACATCGCCACACACATGGTCGTGCGTGCCATCAAGGAGATCGGTCTGCGGGTGTCTCCCCAGAAGACAGAGGCCCTCTTTTTCCACGATGGGTCTCTGGGGGGGCCACCGCGGGCCGACGTAACGGTAGGGACAGTCCGCGTCAGGGTGGGGCAGCAGATGAAATATCTGGGCCTCACCCTGGATGGCTCTTGGGGGTTTGAGCAGCACTTCGCGGCTCTAGCCCCCAAGGTCGGCAGGATAGCGGAAGCTCTTTCCCGACTCCTGCCGAACATTGGCGGCCCTGGCGTGAAGACACGCCGTCTTTACGCCAACACCGTCCTGTCGGTGGCCCTTTACGGGTCACCGGTGTGGGCGGGTGAGATGGCGGCTAGCGCCCGCATACAAGCCAGTATGCATCGGGCGTTGCAGCTGGCCGCCATCAGAGTCATCCGCTCGTACAGGACGGTGTCGTATACGGCGTCGACCGTGCTGGCGGGGATCTCCCCGGTAGAGTTCCTCGCGGAGCAATACCGGGAAGCCTATAATGGCCTTAGGGATCTCCGCAGGGAGGGAAGCTTCCCTCCCGGCGCGGTCGACCGTATGAGACGGCAGGCCCGGGCTCGGGCCATTTGCTCGTGGGAGCAATTCCTCGGGCGGGTGGCCCGAGTACGAATATCTCTCGGGCCGTAGGGTCGCCA